GGACCAATTTCTATGGCACCGTATAGGATGTCACCTTCTGAACTGACAGAATTGAAGAAACAATTGGAAGAATTACTTGGGAAACAATTCATTCGTCCTAGTGTATCACCTTGGGGAGCCACTGTTTTATTAGTTAAGAAGAAAGATGGAAGATTTAGGTTGTGTGTATATTATCGTTAGTTAAATAAATTCACCATAAAGAATAAATACCCTCTTCTAAAGAATAAATGATTTGTTATATCAATTAAGAGGAGCTTCTGTATTTTCTAAAATAGATTTAAGATCAGGATATCACCAAATTAGAGTAAAGGCAGAAGATGTAAAAAAAATTGCATTTAGAATTAGGTATGGTCATTATGAATATCAAGTGATGCCTTTTGGTGTGACCAATGCTCTTGCAATATTCATGGATTATATGAATAATATTTTTCGTCCATTTTTAGATCATTTTATTGTGGTTTTTATAGATGACATTCTTATTTATTATAAAACTTTTGAAGATCATGCGAACTACCTTCAGGTTATTCTTCAAATTTTGAAATACAAACAATTGTATGCTAAGTTTTCTAAGTGTGAATTTTGGTTAAAAGAAGTAAAATTTTTAGGTCATGTGATTTCCAAAGAGGGAGTGTCAGTAAACCCAACTAAGGTGGAAGCAATTCTACAATGGGATCCACCAAAAACAGTGACTGAGATTCATAGTTTCCTGGGTTTGATAGGATATTTTAGGAGATTCATTGAAAGATTTTCTAAAATGGCTATGCCTTTAACCCAACTCACCAAGAAAGATCAAGCTTTTGAATGGACAAAAAAATGCAAAAATAGTTTTCAAGAACTTAAGAAAAGATTAACTACTTCCCCTGTACCAGTATTACCTAACCCAACTGGATATTTTGTGATGCTTCCAAAATTGGATTAGGATGTGTTCTTATGCAAGATAGAAGGGTAATTGCATATGCTTCAAGACAAATAAGAACACACGAGAAAAATTATCCAATTCATGATCTAGAACTAGCCGCCATCGTTTTTGCACTCAAAATATGGAGACATTATGTGTATGGTGGTAAGTTTGAGGGTTTTAGTGATCATAAAAGTCTTAAATACTTGTTTGATAAAAAAGAGTTAAATATGAGATAGAGAAGATGGATGAAATTTTTGAAAGATTATGATTTTGAATTACATTACCATCTACAAAAGGAAAATGTAGTAGCAGACGTTTTAAGCAGAAAATCTTTACATGTCTCTTCCCTTATGGTTCATGAGATGAGTCTGCTAGAAGAGTTCAGAAACATGAATTTATCAATTACCATGAACCTTGATAGAATAACATTAAACTTAACTCAAATTACTAGTGAATTACAAAGACAAATCCAAGAGGCTTAAGTAAGTGATGAATTTATTCAAAAGAAAAAGAAGTTGATAGGACAAAAGAATGGAGAAAATTTTGACATAGATAAAACAGAAATTTTGAGATTTAGTGGTAGGATATGTGTGCCTAATAATGTAGAGATTAGGAAGCTGATTTTAGATGAAGCACATAAGAGTAAATTAAGCATACATCCAGGCACAATAAAAATGTATCAAAATCTTAAGAAAATATTTTGGTGGCCTAAAATGAAGAAGCAAGTAGCACAATATGTAGCATCATGCTTAGTTTGTCAAAAAGCTAAGATAGAACATCAAAGGCCTGTAGGAATGCTACAATCTTTAGACATACCTGAGTGGAAATGAGATAGTATTGCAATGGACTTTATAGTTGGCTTACCACGAACAATTCAAAAATTTGATTCCATATGGGTTATCGTGGATAGGTTGACAAAGTCTGCTCATTTTCTACCCATTAACATCAGGTATTCATTGGAGAAACTGACAGAATTATACATAAAAGAAATTGTGAGGTTACATGGAGTTCCATATAGTATTATTTCTGATAGGGATCCTAGGTTTACTTCTAAATTTTGGGAAAGCCTACGTCAAGCCTTAGGAACTAAGCTTCATCTTAGTTCAGCTTATCATCCTCAAACTAATGGATAATTAGAAAGAACCATCTAGTCCTTGGAAGATTTGTTGAGAGCATGTGTGTTAGAAGATTCTGGTAGTTGGGACCGATACTTATCATTAATTGAATTTACTTACAACAACAGTTTCCATTCTAGCATAGGTATGACACCTTATGAGGCATTGTATGGGAGAAAATGTAGGACACCTTTATGTTGGTTTGAGACTGGAGAAAATTTAACCTTAGGTCCTGACATGATTCAACAAACTACGGAGAAAAATAAGATGATTAGGGAAAAATTAAGAATAACTCAAAGTCGATAGAAAAACTATGCTCAACTCCAAGAAGGTGAGCATGTATTCTTGAAAGTAACACCGACAATTGGAGTTAATAGAGTAATTAAAGCAAAGAAACTCACTCCTCAATTTATTGGTCCCTCAAATTCTTAGAAAACTAGGTCTTGTTACTTACCAAATTTCCTTACCCCCTTTCCTTTCTAATCTTCATAATGTGTTTCATGTGTCTCGGTTAAGAAAATATATTTCTGATCCCTCATGTAATGATGTCAGATACAGTACAATTAAAGGATAACCTTACATTTGAAACAATGTCTATACAGATTATAGATATGAAGATCAAGCAACTGAGGGGAAGACAAATTCTACTAGTGAATGTTGTTTGAAATGAAATTACTGGATACGCTACATGAGAATTAGAAAAGAAAATCAGAGAAAATTACCCGTATCTATTTTAGTGAATAAAAATTTTGAGGACGAAATTTCTGTAAGTATGGAGGAAATGTAACATCTAAAAAATTTATCATCTTCCACATACAATATATTAAATTATACTATTTGGATAATTTAAATATATTTATAATAAAACAAGCATATATTAAAAGAAATTTGTTATTATTATTAAACTATTATAATATATATATATATATATATATATACATATACATATATATTTGTTATATTTATAAAAATGAAAGAGAAGAAAAATATTAATTTTCTTAATATATATATATATATATATATAATATAAAGTTATTTTATCTTAAAAGATAAACCTTATCAAAATCATAATTATTGCATTTATGGTTACTTAATTAAATAAATGAAAAAAAGAAAAAAAATTGCTATAAAAAGGAACTAAGGGGGAGATCTATAGGAAGATAAGGAAGAAGAAGAGAGAAAGGGAGAAAGAGAAAGAAAGAGAGAGAGAGGAAGAGAAAGAGAGAGAGAAAAAAAAGGAAGGGAGAAATATAAGAAGAGAAAAGAAAGAGAAAGATATCCGCACAATTTTGGAACATCGTCTGCAGTTAGGTAGGGGAGGAAAATATTATCATTAAATATATTTTATTTTTATTATAATTGTGGAGTGAGGTGTCCCTAACCTCATTCTATTTATTTAGTTACTTATTTATTTATCTCTAATTACGTAATAGTCTTGACTTATGCTTATTTATTTCATCTCTAGTCTTGCACTGATCCTATTTGAATTATCTCCAATTATGTATTGGTCATGTTTGTTTATTTTATTTTATCTCTAGTCTTGCATTGGTCCTATTTTAATTATCTTCAGTTATGTATTGGTCCTGTTTGTTTATTTTATTTTATCTTTAGTAATGCAACGATCCTATTTATTAATTTATAGTTATATTATTTAATTATTTTTATAATAATATTTATTTGTGAAGATTTGATGATATTGTAGATGGAGGTTGGACCTTGGGGATTTAAATGAGTAAATATCACTGAGAGAGTGATTAAAATTAGACTCATTTATCCTGACTAGTCATTATAAATTTAATTTAAATCTTCATAAAATAGAATGTGTCGAGGAAGTTAATATATATATATATATATATATATATATATATATTATAAGATTGTATTATTGTAAATGATAAATATTTTCACTCCCTATTGTGATCTGTTGTGCATGTTTTATTTAAATATCAACTTAAATAGATGGAGGTGTCAAATATTCCAAATCCCTTTTCTACAAGTATCACTGTCTTCTTTCTAGGAACTACTTGGAACACGAACGTTATTGACAACTCAGTTACTTTTAAAGGGACATGATTATCAATATTAGCATTTGCATCTGATATGAAAAATTTCATTATGTTAGACGAACCAATAGTGATTACCTTTTATATGTCTCCTACTATTTGTCAAAACCCTTTAATTAGTTTGTTTTCACCAGAACGGAACCTTATTTGCCTTCGTCTCGATGAGTTGCTTTTGCTTTAAATGTAAATATTTGTAAGAATAAAAGGAATAAAAAATAAATAAAATTCCTTCTTCTCTTGTATATCTTAAAATATATATATATATATATATATATATATATTAATGTAAATTTCTTTTATATATATATATATATAATATCTTTATTTGATCTATTACTCTTACATAAATAATAATAAAAATGTCGAGTCCCAAATATTTGTAACACTTGTGGTTGAATCTCATGTGCATATGGTGTGATGACTAAATATTAACATGAATGTTTGTTCGATCTGGTTGTATGTTTTTATCTGATTCTATGGTATAGGGAAATTCTGGAGGGCCTCTCGTCAACATGGATGGAGAAATTATTGGGGTGAACATGATGAAAGTGGCTGTTGCTGCTGGGCTGGGTTTTTCTGTGCCAATTGATTATGTGCGTAAAATTTTAGAGGATTTCAAGAAAAGTGGGTATGTTTTGTATTTTATTGCATACGCATTAGAAAGTACGAATTTATTTGTTGTAAAATATTGTTAGCATTTGATTTGTGCTGAGTGTCGTTTAGAAGGATGTTTTATTCTTCACAGAAGTTAAATTACATGGAAAAATTTTACCTTTTGTCATATTTTTAAAATTGATATTCCATAAACAAATATGGATTTAAATATATTTTTTTGAAAATCATTAATGTGTAGTCGAGTTGAGCTATTGTATATTGCGGATAAAATCAATAAGCATTATTTAACGTTTCTATAGGAGAGTAATGCGGCCTTGGCTTGGGCTAAAGATGCTTGATCTCAATGAGATGATTATTGCGCAGATTAAGAAGCAAGATGCTTCATTCCCTAATGTCACTAAGGGCATTCTTGTAGCAATGGTATGTTGCTAACTCCATTTAGGCTATATTACTTTATGTGCTCCTTCGTATTCTTGTGTGTTTAATTTTTCAATGGGATGAATGCTGTACGGTTAGGGGGAATGCAATCCGTTTCTTGAAACAAAGACACTTTTTTTGTTGGCAAAGTTGGTTGGTGTCTTCTTGGAGTGAACTATCGGCTAGTGCTACTTTACTAATAACTATCACACTGCACAAGGTTGTTACTTGTATGTATTTTAGGGCTTCAAATGAGGGATGAATGTTGAGAGAAATGTTGGATGGAATTAAGTATTTGTGAATGATAATTAGATTTTACCCTGCTAAACTAGAAAACCTGAGACACTAAAACGACAAGGCCATCAGGTTCTTAGAACGTTAATACGTAAAGGATGGAGTGATAACAAAATCATACTTCTTCCACTTTCTTATGAGACAATATTATGACAAATATGTAATTCGCCTTGTGAATTGATTTTCTTCTAATTTTGATTATGTGTTGTAGTTTTACATATTATGTAGTCGTTTCTTTTTTGGGTTAGTATATGCTTCATACTCATCAATGCTAGACATGCACTAAAATACTTGAAATCACCTATTTATCTCAAGGGAACTTCAATGTTTTTGTCTAGATAATTCCCAAGTCTCCTGGAGAGCGTGCTGGATTCTGTCCAAATGATATTATCATTGAATTTGATGGGAAAGCTGTGGAAAGATTAGAGGAGGTAGTAACTTATTAAATATATATATATATATATATATATATATATATATATGTTATTTTAATTTATATTCTAATATTGTTGTTGAGGTAAGAAGATTTGGTGATCAATACACAACTATGGTTTATTATGGCAGGTTAGTGAAATATTGGAAGACAAAGTTGGGGTACCGATAAAGGTAGTAGTAAAAAGAAAGAGCAATAAATTGGTGACTTTAACTGTGATCCCCAAGGACGCCAATGTGGTTGTTTAGAAGCATGTAGCTACAATGTTTCTGTTATAACTTGGCCAACTTATACCAATTACGACCTTAGTTATCTATAATTCATTGTATGTGCTCTTCTAAATCCTCAAATCTTAAACGTGTATTTTGGTTTCCGTCATTAGGTTTCATTTTTCTGTATTTCTCTTGATCTTTGTTCTTGTCTTACTTTTCTCTCTCTTTCTCTCTATACCCCGTCAGTGCTACTAGTTTATCTTCATAACAGTTTCCCCTCTTTTATTGTGACAATTCTACACCCCCACATATTTGAGTTTATATGGTTGTTATAGTCTTAGTCCCGATCTTGCTAAATTGCTACTTGTTCTCGCAAGGGAGCTTCTTGGTTACACCAAGTCTCAAAAAGGTTAGACATGTTATTCTCCTTCACTTAGCTGTTACATTAAAATTAAGTTTTGATACAAGTTAAATAAATTTATGGGTATATATTTATAGAGACATTTTTCATTAAAAGCCATGTTCGCTATTGTTTGCTATTGTGCACTGGTGAGCTTTACACAAAGTCAATTATTAGCATGAACTGATTCAACCTTTCATATAAAATATATTTAGCCTTAAATATTTCATAAATTAGTTTTTATAGTGAATACAAATTACACAAGTAATTTTAAAAGTATCAATTAACAAAAATGAAGAGGAAAAATTCAAGTTGTGCAATTACAAAATTTAAAAAATTAATAAAACTTATTCTTTAATCACTAAACTTTACAAATGACAGTAGACTATAAATTGAGAATATTAAGCTCATGTTTTATGTCAATTTTGTCTTCATAATGTTTTTCTTTTACCATGATTCTAATATAGGATTTGATTATTTTGGACGATGACAAAACTTGGCCACCAAGCTTTTATCCTCTCGTAATCAGAATGTGACAACAATAGCACGACAACAATAGCATGATGAATGAAATTTACTATACATATGACCATCTACAAACCACGAGCCACAATCATCTTAGAATGTATCTACTAAACTACTTCATTTCATGGTAAAGTTTCATACTATGATATGTTATTTGAAATGAGAGTTAAATGAAAATTCTAATAAACTCTTCAAAATTGAATAATTGATTTTTTTTTAAATTAAAATAAAACACATATACTTTGTTGGAGCAAGACTATAGGGTGACATGGAGATGTTATGGCCACCCCAAAAATTTTATTTTTTTTATAAAATATATATATATATATATATATATATATATATATATATAGTTTAAAGTATATTTTTTTTAATATTTACAATGACCTTCCCTAGTTTTATTGTCTTGCTCTGCCTCAAATATTTTGGTATACAAAAGTTAATGATTTGTCCTTTTGATTTATTATAAAATATTAAAAAATTAAATAATTTAAATTAATCATAATTAATAGATAAAGATCATAATATGTACAAATCTTTTGTCAATTACAATTTGTAAATTAATTCAAAAAACAAAAATGTGCACGAATATGCACAATTTGTCGGATAGTTTGTCAATTAAATCATAAAAATCACAATATAACAATTTGTCTGCTTGCAATATCTTCAGTACACATACACGTACACATGCCCCATCTCATCTAATTTATACTAAAATTAATGGTAATATATATATATATATATATATATATATATATATATATATATATATATATATATATATATATATATATATATATACATATACGTGGTGACATTTTTCACCTAAAGTGATATTCCTTATTATGAATAGGGGAGTTTTACATTATGTCAATTATCATCAAACTAATCCAAACACCATATAAAAATATTTGTTAAAAAATTATTTTAAAATAAATATTTAGTTTTTCTTAATAATTATAACATAATAATAATAATATTTGTAACATCTCAATTTTATCGTATAATATTTTCTCAACAAAGGAGAAAAAGAGGGAGATAAACACTAAACGAAGATATATAGAGAAAAAATAACCAAAAGTAGATGAATAAAGAAAAAGATATGAAAATAAATGAAAAAAGAGAGAAAAAAAGTATATTATCTTAAACGAGATTTATTTTCACTTTTGAATTCTATGTATAAATACTAAACGGTCTAATTGGATAAATAAATTTAAAGTGATTTTATCTAAGTAATTTATTTTTTAACTGTATTATTTGTGGGATTGATTCATCTTTTTTATATTGATGATTTTATAAGTATCACTTTAAAAAAAAAAAAGGAATAATAAAAATTCAAATTGTGCAATTAAAATATTTTCAGAAATTAATAAAATTTTCTCACTTAGTATGAGACTTTACAAGCATTAGACTAGAAATTGAGAATAGTAAGTTTTAACATTCTCAAAGAAGATCCATAGTGAAATATCTTAATTTTGCTTTCATAGTGTCTTTTTGTTTCCATGGTTTCAATACAACAGTGATGGATCTTGAATATTGATCTTGAAAGATACCAAATAATATATTATTAATAAATAATAAATAAATATAAAAGAAAAAAAGAAGATGAAAAAGTGAAAGGATAAAATTGTAGATATATACTTAAATATATTAATGATCATTAAGTTTGATCGGGGACAAAATAATAAATTATATGAGTTAGGAGGAGCTGAGAGGATAAAATTGTAAATAAATAAGTAAAAATATTAAATGCTCATTAAGTTTAGAGGAGCCAAAATCATAAATTATATGGGAGTTACAAAACTTTGCGGGGCACGACCCCTCGAGCTCCCAAGAAGATCCGTCATCGCAATACAGTGATTTGGTTATTGGATGATTGCACAAACTTGGTCACCAAACTTTTCTACTCATTGTGTGACAACAATAATAAAACTAATGAAATTTATAACAAAACTTGGTCTATGATCATTTAACAACTTAGAGCTGCAACCATCTTGGTGCACATATACTAAACTGTTTAATTTCATAGTAAGTTCCATTTCTTGATAATAATAATAATATAGTGATATGTTAATCAAAATGAGAGTTGAATAGAACTTTTGAAAAGAAATTCAAATTTGAATGAATAATTTTCTTTAAACCCAGTAAAACACATATACTTTGGTATACAAGTCAATGATTTGTTAGAGTCTATAGATCTCTTATAAATCCTCCTAATTTGTTACAAGAAATTAGAAAATTGAATAAGTTGAATTAACCATAATTTATATATAAATATCACAATATGTACAAATTTGCATAATTTGTGGGCTACAATTTGTAAGAAAAATGTGTTTTGTATTTTTTTCTTACTTGTTAAATGACTTAAATATATATAATATTATATTAGATTGTTGTCAAATTAGAGTCACCAAATCTCCTACAAATGTTCATAATTTATTATAAAAAATCAAAATATTTAATCATTTGAATTAACCATAATTAATTCATAAATCATAGAATTTACAAATTGCACCATTTGTTAGCTATAATTTATCAATTAATTTAAGAGATCGAATCCTACACAAATCAACATAATGTATCGGTCACAATATATCGCTTAATTTATCGAGATCACGATATGCACAAATGTGTATAACATGTTAAATACAACTTATTCTCAATATATGTGACATAATAGTTGCATCTCATCAGAAATCCTCCGTTTGAAGATGGACAAGGCTTCATTAGGCCTCTAGGCATGTTCACTAGACTCCATGTAAGGATAGGAGGACTTTCTGTACACAAAAATAAGAACAATAGGAAAACGCTGACAGAGAGCTCAAGACAATCGTCTCGCTTTTCTTTGAGGTCGAGACATGTGTCGTTTGGCCAGACGCACGTCTCGTCTTCTTCTAAGGTCGAGACGACCATCTCTTTTTTCCAGACGCACGTCTCGCTTTTCCTTGAGGGCGAGAAGACCGTCTCGAAATTTCAGACGGTTGTCTCACCTGTCAGAAAATCAGACGGTCGTCCCGGCCTGACTGGCGCAATTTCCTATAAATAGGAGCCTCCTCTCCCCCATTTTCATACACTCTAGCACCCTTCTCTCATCCTAGAAGCTCTCCTAAGACTTCGGGATAACTCTGAGCACTTTCCAGAGTTCGAGTAAGCTTTCTGATTTCCATTTAAGATAGAAATCGGTTAAGGAAGTCTCCTTTTGAAACATCCGACTCTCGGTAAAAGGGTATTTCTTTTTTTGCTGGTGAGGAGTGTGCTTGTAGAGTGAGGAGATTGCCAAAAAGCGTCTTCAAGTTTGAAAAGTTATATAAAAAGCTCGATTCATAGGTTATTTTCTCTATTCCTTCTCTTTATTGCTTTCCTTGTATGCATTAGATATTAGGACCATGTAGACATTTAAATTCTGCCAGTAGATAAATAAATAGGATAAAAACATAGTTTCTTTCAATCTTTATTTCATAAATTAGTCCATTATAGGGAACCCGAAAGGGGCGTTGTGGGGTGCCTAACACCTTCCCTACACGTAACCAACTCCCTTATCCAACTTTGGTTATAATGGCCAAAGTTGATTTTTTCTAAAACCAGCACCTTTTTCCTTTTTCAGTGTTTAAGGTTAAAATACTGGTGGCGACTCCGTAAAACATATTTACGAAAACCTTGTCTCTAGGTTCAACTCGGTTATCGGACAACCTAAAAGCGTTGACTATATAATTTTATAAAAACACAAGAGTTTAGTCATTCATCGCAACTGTTTGCAAATATTGAAATCCTCGCATCGAGACGGCGACAACAATAGGTTTATGTTTGTATATATCTATAGTGACATTTTTCATTAAAAGTGAGATTCCTTATTGTAAATATATGAGTTTTACACCATCTCGATGTCATCATGATCTTATTCAACTTTCATATAAAACATATTTCGTCCTAAATATTTAATAGATGAACTAGATAATGAATATCAATTATAGAGATAATTTTATAAGTATCAATTAACAAAAAAGAATAATGAAAAATTCAAGTTGTACAATTAAAATTTGTAAAAAGTTAATCAAACTTCCTCAAGAAAAAGAGAATTCTAATTTACTTGTTCCTAACAAAATTTTATGCG